GGGGTGAGCGGCGGTCTCTGGGTAAGGGGTGGTTAAAAAAGGTGAAAGGGGTGAGGTGGGAAAGGTGCAAGAGGCCAGGGAGTCGTGTGGAATGGAGAAGGTGCTGCTGTCAGTGGGAAGAGGCTGAGTCTAGAGGGGATTGTCTGATCCCAGATGGGCTCTCTGCAGCTTCACAGACGTGCCCCTCGGGAGCTCCAGGGTCATTTCTCCCCACTGGGAGCTGGGTCCTGGGGAGAGAGTTGAGAGGCTCCTGTTGGATTTTCTGACTGACAGAGTTGAGGGAAGGGCCAAGGGCTCCACCCCAGAACTGTGAGGTAAGTTCTTCATCTCAGAGCATCTTTCTAATGGGTCTGTTACGGGGTGGGCGAGACTCTGTGGCCTGCAGTGTGCAGGTCGGATGAGATGATCAGGATGGTCCCTTCTGGCCTTAAAGTTGTGAGGGTGGCTCTAGTTGGGGCTTGTGCAGGGTTTGATGTGGGGGATTCTCTAGCCTGGGACACGCCGGAGGCCAGACTAGATGGTGAGAACAGGCCCTGCTGGCCTTAACACCTGTGAATCTAGCTCTGAGACCCTCAGGAGTTTATGCCCTTTCCAGATGCTCTACGTCTCCACGAGTTACCTGCTGTAGCTGTCCGCTTGAGAGAGCCCAGGTGAAGGGGACGTCCCTTCTGTGACTGCAAGGGCCCTTCGGTGCCCTCTCAGTGGCTGTGGCCCTGCAATTAGGGGCAGGGTTCGTGAGTGGCTCTTAGGAGGAGCTCATACTTCACATGCCTACAGAGGAATTACTTTTATTCTGGTTTCCCCTGGGTGAAAATGGGGCTTGGAGGCAAGGAGGAATCCTGGTGGGACTTTGATGCACAGATGTGGAGAGCCTGGTGCCCTCTTGGATTGAGCTGTCTCAGCCTCCTGATTTGGGCTGGTTTCCTCTGGCTGCCTTCTCTGGGCCTTGCTTGCCTACTGCGTTCTACTCTTTGAGCTCTGCTCACCCCAGGAGCAGAAAGGCCCAAGTGGTTTGCCATCTGTCCTGTGACTCGGGAGCACACTGCAGGGTTTCTCACACTGCACTCTCTGGGTTTGTTGTGCAGCTGTGGAGTTTGAATGTGAGTGTTTAAACAAGCTGGTATTACTCAGGAAATGGCCACCTCCACACGCTTGGAACATGGGGTCATTGTACTTGCATGAATCACCAGGCAGCCTGCTCCCCCTGTGAAGATGGTGGCTTATGTGAAAGCACTTCACAGCTTTGGTCCTGTCCAGGGGGAACTCAGTGAGTGTCGGGCTGTGCTTACCACACAGAGTTGTTAGCAAGAGCTGCCTATTTCTGCCGCGCTTAATGTTCGGGCCATTGGCCTCTGGAAGCAGTAGCCCCAGCTGTTGCTGTGATTGCACAGATCCAGCCCTAGCCCTTGTCATGGAGGTTCGTTTGGCCCCTGGGTACCCTTGTCCATGCACATGAGCTGTGTCCGCTCCATCCCCTGGCTGGGCTGCGCTCATGCTGGCAGCTACATTCGGCCTGCGTTCTGAGATAGCAAAAAGTAAGCTAACGCTTTGTTTTTCCCTGTCCTTGGTGATGTAAATATGTCTGTGGGGAAGTGAATGAACCCCACTTGTGGGGAGAGACCTTGGGCTAACCCTCTCTTGGCTTCCTCCATTAGAAGCACAGAGAGCTTCGTTCTGTTTACCTCAGAACTGTGCGCTCCAGGGCTCGATGTCAGCAATTCTGCAGAGCCCTCTGCAAAGGCTCCACAAAGAGGCCTGTTGCAACTCAGATATTGTGTACGTACAGCACATGCTGATGGTTGGATCTCTGAGCATCTGTGCACAGAAATGCCCTGAGTCAGAACAATCCAATCAAGGTGACACAAGCCAGGCATACCTAGAAACCGCCACTGGACCCTGGGGGCTGAAGGAGAAAGCACCTGGCTGGGTTCCGAGGGTTGCACGTCCCTCCATTGTCCCCATAGAGGGCAGTCTCCTAAGGGCTCAGGCAATGAACTTCCTGATTCTTTGGCCATCAGCTGGACCTGGTGCTGGGTGTGTGGAGCCTGGAGAACTACCTAATCCTGTAGTGATGTTCATGCAGACACACAGGAAGGAGGCCGCTGCACAAGATTCTGTCAGGTGCACTCCCAGCTAAATCCCCATCATTGTGTGTCACAGCAGGAAACCAGGGCGAAAACAGCAAAGGAAAAGCACTTCTTGCTCCATCCTTATCGCCAAGGTCCCATGCATACACAGGTTTATCACACCTAATGGATGCAGCCCAGCCCCTGCTCTGAATTACACAGCAGCCGTGTTGATAGCTCATGACAAAATTGCCCCGACCGTCAGCTTGATTGAGGGGACCGTAGAGTGGAAATCTGACACGTAAAATGGAAAGGGCAGATCTGCTGAGCCATTGTGAAGCTGTGGGGAGCAGGGAGGATGCTGCAAAGGTCTAGGGGGCCCTGTACTGGAATAGGGGGCTGGAAGGGTAAACTCCTCATCAGTGGGGCTGGAGAACTAGTGACTACAGGGGGAGGCTTCTGTGCAGAGCTGCTAAGCCTGCAGGAGGGGAATGCCCCAGTGCTGCCACTTGCAAGATTAGAGAGCTCTCTTACATGCAGTAATGTGAATGATGTGACCATTTGTGTGGCCTGGTGATGGCATTGGACACTGAGCCTGTTGAGGAGCAAAGGCCACGAATGTCAGGTCAGGAGTGTTTCTGCAGCGTGTTGATATACCTCCGCCTCCCGCTCCCAAACAGAAGTGCTCCCTGCCATGTGACCAGTCCTCCTCACCAACTGGCATGGAGCACTTCCTGCTGTGTGTCCCTTTCCCTCCTCGGCCATAGATCTGTGCCACTAGCACCCTGTTGGCCCTGTCCCACCTACTGGTCTGGGATTGCTCCCCCGGCACCCTGTGTCTTCCATGTCCCCTTACCCCTGCTGGAAAGGGAGCACTCCCTGTCTGTGTCCCCTGCCGATGCCTGAAGCTTTTGCACCTCCTTTCATTCTGCAGGTGTTCTCGCTGCTGATCCGGGTGTGGAGCAGCCCGCTCAGTCTGAGGGCCACGAGTGCTATGTGACCAGACCCATGCAGCAAAGTCAAGTCCCCAGCAGGGCACTGGGGGAGGGCTGAGTATGTCAACCCCTGCGTGTCTCCCATGGGCAGAGCTCACGTTGGAGGTGGCCCAGAGCAGCCCTGTCACATCCGGTGCTTGTCTCTGCAGCCTGGGCTGAAGGATAAACTATCAGAGCTGTGGGGCAGCGGATCATTCCTCTTATTATTTTCTTCTTTGCAGAGAGGGGTCGTGGAAAGTTCAGTTCCTTTTAACCCTCACAGCTCTGTTTATTTTCCAGCTGGTAGCACAAATGCAGTGTTTCCCATTACATCACAAGGGCCTCGGACAGACCCCTCCGAAAACCGTGTTGCAACTGTTTATTTTTTTCCATATTTAAACAGTTCTGACAGCCAGACCTGGCTGAGCCAAGTGATGGAGCTTTGTGAATGAGCCCAGCTCCTGGTGTCTGTGCACAGAGGGCTTCGAAGGCCCTCTTCTCCTCTGCAACATGTTTGCCGGGGCCTGCTCAGGGATGTGGGCGACTCTGTGTTACACGTGTGCTGATTATGTGCTGGGCTTTGATTAATGGCAGCTCATTCCGTCCAGCTCCCAGGACGCTCTTGAAAACAAGATGTTTCATTTCAGTGCACTTTCCTGGTACATTGATTGCCATAAATAAACGAGTGCAGACTCTGTTCACCTGGAGCAATTCATGGAGCAGGGGGCCTGCTCCAGCCCCTTGGCTGCCTCTGGCTGTGGAGAGTCACATCCCCCCGGCGTTGGTCTCTGTCCTGCACCTCACAGTTCATCAAGGTGGCACAGATGGGCACGGCACAAGACTGCTGTCTGGGACCTGAAGGCATAGGGATCCCAGCACAGCAGGCCCCAGAAGTAGCTCAGTCTGCTGCTTTCCCTTTCCCATCTCCCTGCACTTCTACCTCGATCTAAAATCCCTCCTTTCTCTCCGGAAAAAATCCTTGTGTGAAACAATTAACAAGTAGCAGTTGGTTGCGAGCTTGTAGCTGTGCTGTTGGTCTGCTGCCCAAATGTGTCACAGGCCCTCTGTGCACCTATTCTGCCTCCATGCCCCACCTCGACCCTCGGGGCCCTGGGCTCCAGCTGCCCTCAGAGAAGAGCAGAGTCTACAGCCAGCTGCTGAAGCAGCTCAAGGCGCTGTGTTGACACACTGGGCTCTGTATGTCCCTGGTGCTCGAAAAAGGTGACACGCCACACAGGCAGCTTTGCAGGTCACTCCAAAGTGTTGAAATTGTGACCAGAAATGAAACACGGTGTAACATCTAGTGACTGGCATTTTAAGACAAAGCCCCTGCAGTCCCGCATGGCCACAGCATGTGATGGCAGATAGCAGCCTGGGCTCTGTGAGACACAGATAGGGCCCTGGGGACATTAGCTTCCAGGAGGGGCTGGAGAAAGTCGGCTGCGTCTCAGGGCTGGAGCTGTGGCTGCAGTAGAGTAGAGAGCCGTCCTCGGGCTGCCCAGCAGGTGACTTCCCCCTTCCCAGGCATAACATGGAGTATTACTCCTCTCTGGAGTGAGCTGGATTATTTTCAGCATCACCTGGGGCTTTGGGTGGGGCAGATGCTTCCCCGCATCTCCGTTCCAGGTTGGGCTTGCAGGGGTGGGCTGTACAATGTGTGTGTGTGTGGGTGGATTCTGGGAGCTTCCTGGTCCACAGTAGAGAAGTAAGGGGAGCTCTTGACTGTCCTCATCTGCAGAAAGGAGAGGGCTTGTGTTAGCAAGTGCTGAGCTCACTGATTGGGGTAAAACCCTCTGTCCAGTTGGGAGCCCATGTGGCTGGACTCCTACCCTGAAGGGTATGTTGGTAGCTACTCTGTGCTGGGAGGTGCATCTTGCCTCATCTCACTTCCCTAATATTTGGTGTGATGATGCAGAGAACATGCCATAATTGATCATATCTCTTTCCCTCATTCTCCCAGGGTCTCAGTGGACGTGTGGGCGACACTAGCCGACTTCTGTAACATACTGACCACAGTGAATCAGTCAGAGGTGCCGTTGTACAAGGACCCCGATGATGACCTTTCCCTGCTCAGCCTGGAAGAGGATCGGATCCTTTCAGGCTTCGTCCCCCTGCTGGTCGCCCCCCAGGAGCCCTGCTACGTAGAGAAAACCTCGGACAAGGTCAGCACTAGGCTAAACATCCCCCCTTGATTCCTCCAGACTTTTATTCTTGGGAAGTTTTTGTGCAAACGGAACACGATTAAGTCATTGAGAAGGGTGTTAAGGGAAAATATCGACCTTTTAGCCGCTGACATCCAGCTCTGTGTCATGAAAACCCCTCTCGACTTCCTCTGGTGTGTGTGTGTGCTCGCTGGCATGTTGTATATACGATCATTTCCTCACTTGTTTAAATAGTGCAGCTTGTGTTGGCAGCACTCTCACTCCACTCCAAATGGTTTGCATCATGCTTAAAGCACCCTCCCCCTCCCCCGGCCACAAAACTCTGTGCTAGGAAAGCAGCCAGGGCTTTTTTCCCTCTCTAAAGAGGAGAGTGATAAATAGGTGACTAGAGAGAAGCAGACACCATGTGTTAACGTACAAAAGGCTTTTAGGAATATAAAGCATTCCCCGCTGCCCGCTCTCTATTTTCCTTTCTTTGCTCTAGGAGCCTGGTCTAGCCTGAACTTTCCTCGGCTGTTGGTTTTTAGAATAATGAAATCAGCTCCCTTGTTGATGTGGGGCTTAGGTTCCATTCCGTGCCACCGCCCAGCCAGGGGGGATGTGGGTGCCTGCACTTGCCATATGCACTCCTGCTGGGGATGGAGAGGGGAGAGTGACACTGGGGCTGCAGACCACACAGGGCAGGGCAGGAATGAGGGTGGAGCTTGTCAGTCCCCTGCGTGTGTTGCCTGGGTGAGCCCTTCGGGGCAGCATCCCAGACCTGGAGCTGTCACTCTCCCAGGAGGATGTTGTGGTGTTTCCCTGAGCAGAGAGGACTCTAGGAAGAGAAGTGGAGCTGCTGGGACTAGTTTCCACTGTGAGCAGTCTGTAAGATAAGTGGGTAAGCTGGGGCTGGCCGGAGATGTGCATTTCTAGGTGTCACTTCTCCAGGACCTGTTCCTGAACTGACTGAGAAATCTGGGACCCTCGTGAGAAGGGGAACCTGAGAGGTGCTACTTGCGGTTTCACTTCCCTGTCTGCCCTACTGCCGCTTGTAACGCTGTACTGGGGCAGAGAGGAGAATACAGTCACTGTCCCTGTTTCAAGAAGCACCTCGCTCCAGGAAGGGACCATCAGAAGAGGGGCTTTAGGGGCATGTTCCTGCAGTTTAAAATAGCAACCTTGCAGTCACTATTTCTTTCCCCCAGGGAAGCTGGCTTGTGTTGGTGGCCTTGCAGACTAGCTTGGGCTTGGTTCTTCTGGGCCACGCTGAGCGGGAGAAGACAGTCTGACTCTGGCCATATAGTCAGCACTGATGACAGGCCCAAAGCTAACATGTGCACCTGTAGTCCCAGCATCCCAATCCTAGCATCGAACCCATGATAGAAATGGCAGACAGCGTGCTCTGGCCAGAGAGCACAATGTGACTGCTGTGTCAGCATTCCCTGGGCTTTGCCATTTCCCACTGTGCACCAGAGGCATTCAGAGTATCCTCCCCAAATACTGACATGCTCAAAGCATTGTCCCTTAGCCCTCAGTGAGCTGCAGAGCAGCCACAGAGCTGAGGTGTTCTCCCTTCTTGGTCCCCAGTGGGGGACGTAAGAGAACTGTGGAAAGGGGGTGGGGGGGTTGCGTGTGTCTCCCACAGCGAAGCAACATCCACCCAAACATCATGGGTTTTCTAGGTTGTTGGTAGAGAATGTGAAACTGCCCTTCTCAGTACTGAAGTCTCACACCTTGGTGCTTAGGAAACGTCTCTTTGTTTCCTTTGCAGCCAGTTCTTCACAACCCCCTGTTTCATTCACACAGGTGCTAAACACATTGCCGGGTTCCCCAGACTCTGCATATGACAGTGATCTTATCTAAATATAGCAAATACCTAGGAAGAGAGAGACATTTGGATTTTAGCCCCTCTCTGATAATACCTGAGATTGGACTGCAAGTCTTTGGGGCAGGGTCTGTGTTTTTATCTTAAATAATAAATTCTGAGCATTGTGCTTGCCAGTTCTTCTGTTCGTTCCCTCAGTCCCATTCTATGGTAGAGTGCTGCAGTCCATCAGAGCCTCTTCACAGCCAGCGTTTCTCAGTGGGTCACTGGACATTTGGCCTCCATCTTGCTGTGGATGAACAAGTTCCATCAACAAGCTCCTTTCATTGCTGGGAGTTTCTGCGGTGGGGTTCATGCTGGAGCCAGCATGATGTTTAGATTTTTCTGTCTTCTCATGCGCTACCCCTGTGATTGTCACCTTTTCCCCAGCTCAAGCTCCCCCGTAAGTGTTAGTTCTGAGCTGAGTATTACATGGGGGTGTTTTAATTGGTGTGTGTTGGGTGATTACCTGCTGAAACACACACTTGTATGCAGGACTTATGCGGTGGAATACAGTGATGCATACCGATCAACTGCAGTCTACATAACCAGCAAATTGAGACTTCATACTGTGCCTTCAGGTTTACAGACTATGGGCATCTTGTCAAGGCCTGTCCCCCTTTCACTGGGAGCTGGTCCCATGCCCCTACTATCCGGCTCTTACCTAGCTTTGCTCCCCAGAGCAAGTGCTGAGTTTGATGGTGTGGTGAAGGGAGCGTGCTGGCAGAGGGGAAGGTAAAGAATGCGGATTTCATCTGTGTCTGCGTGGTGCTGTTGGTGGGGGCTTCCCATGGCGAACACTTGGATTGACTGAAAACAGAGCAAGGCCTGATTAGAGTCCATCTGCTCTGTGCACTAGGTGCATTCTCCCGGGGGTCTTGGGCATCGGATGGTTTCTTCCATGCTCACTGGCCATTGATTGCAGGAGGGCTCCTGTGGAGTTGGTGGTAAGGCTGTGACTGGGATGTGGAACTCCCAGGTGGGGAGAATGGCAGGGAGGTCTCCTGTGTGGCAGTTCTAGAGACTTGTTTGGATGCGCGTCATCACTCAGTGAGCGTCCATTCCTACTGACTCTGCAGAGGCTGGGGGCACACAGGGAGAGATCTAGCAGCTCTGCCTGTCCTTTAAATTTGAAACACTGTACAGCACATGCACCTGTGTGCCTAAGCTGGTACCTGAGGAGCAGATCCTGTGTGAGCCCCAGCCAGGGAGGTGTGGAAGACAAAGTGTTAATGTCCCTTCCCACAATAAATTTCTGTGAAGGGGGGGTCCTGAAACCTCAGCCCCTTTCTCGCCTACCCCAGCCCTGACACATGTTAATAAAAGGTTTTTAAATCCCAATTAAAAGGCAACAGCCCCAGCTCACTAGGGTCCGGGGCCCTGTGTCCTGGGGAAGGCCCTTCACAAATGTGGTTTTTGCATTTTCACGTTTTTGGCTGGTGAATAAGATTGAAGAGAAATGCTCCTTCCCCTGATAACAATACAGTGAGACGCAGGATCAGCAGTGTGTGGATTAAAACCAGACGGTGAATGATTAATACACTTGCTTATGGGGCTAGTCACTACGACTCCCTCCACTGAAACAAAAAGGAGCCTTTCTCTGTGCACGTGTTCATAGGAACATGCTCTTTGTATGTGTGTGGTGAACTCTTTCCACACTGGCAAGACCCCAAGTGATCTGCCTCCGGCATGGTCCTGGAAAGGAGGCGAATCCCTGCCATGTGTCTCTGAATGAGACAGTCCAGTCTAGGGATTGGCCCATGCAAGGTGGGGCGTCACTCTTGCAGCTATGGGGGCCCATTTAGTTTTTCACACTTGCCATCTTCCGTACTTGACGAACCCTCAGCTGCCTGCTATGTGTATGGTCACCTGCTGGGGGAACAGTCAAACAATTGATTCCAAACCTGGTTCCATTAAGGGCCTTTGTTTCTCTTTGAAAAGTACAAGCCTCTTTTCTGTGATTCCAGGCCAGATATGTTTTCTGAACTGTTAATCTCTCTCTAGTCTGGCTCATATGTTCTGGATTTCCATAACTGCTGGCCACTGCATTGGCCTCTCAGGAGCTCTCTTTGTTAGGCTTGGGCTAACGTTAACCCATTTAGCTAGCAGAGCATTGAGATGTTTATTAGCAAGATGCAGTTTTCTAAAGACTTTCAGCTCATTTTTTCTGTGAAGTAGAGTATCTGTCTGCCCAGAAAGAGAGCCACGGAGAAGGGCCAGAGGAATAGCCTTGGAATGCCTCATGAAAACCTACGTCCTGTCCTTCCTAAGATGACAGATCTGTGGCTAATCACCTGAAAGCCTCCTGGGGCAGAGGCAAAGACATTTACCTTCCTGAGAGTGGCTCTAAAGTTTGTTGTTTTGAGCTAAAAAAATGCAGCTGGGGGAAGCCTAGCAGGAGGAAGTTCCCATGAGGTAGTTGGTAGAGCAATGTGGGTAATGAGGAGTATAAAGGCTTTGGGCTCAGTTAGGTCACCCATATGTTGAGCAGCACCTTACTCCACGAGTAATCTCATTGTTTGCGGTAGGGCTTCTTTCAGAGGAAGGTGCTGCCCAGCAGGAGTAAGGGTGGCAGAATTGGGCCCTCTGCGAGAGGCAGCCTCATCCCAAACAGGAAAGAGAACCCTGAGGCAAAGTGATGTGCCTGCTTCCCTGCACCCTCCTGTGCATGTCCCCGAGGCACTGTGTCTGTGCCAAGCCACATTGGAACGCTTGCTCAGCCCATCAGAGCAAGGGGCTTTCAGTTCCCTTCAGTGGGGAGGAGGGAAGCAGTGAGAGCCCTAGAGTGAAAGAGTCCAAGGAGGAGTCACCTTTGAAGAACTCCTTTCATCTCTGTCTGCCTTGCTTTCCAAACAAGCATTGACAGAGCCCTGCCACACTGAGCCCTGCCACAAGCAGCTACGTGGCAGCAGCTGGCAGCCCGTAGGCTATGGAATTAAACATTGAAACACTTGCAGACCAGTAACTAAACTCCACCTTGACCTCGTCCTTCCCTTTCATGTGGTATCTTTGGATTGTAAAAGGCATTGATGGTGAGTTACAACCAATGTCAGAAGCTGATGTCACTGGTAATAGACAAAAAAACGGGTTTCACCCACTGAGAAGGTAACATGGAGCGTGTTGCCTGGCATGAACTTTTGTTCTTATTTGTGTT